ACTAAAACACATACTTTTTTATGTCCTCCTTTAGAATATGAGGTCATTGAGAACAGGGCCTATCTCTATTTTATGTTTTTCCCACTTAGCACTTAGCACAATGTCTCTCATGTAGTAGGCTCCATACATGCTTTCTGATTGATTTCTGGAAAGACATGAAATCCTGTCTAAAGTAATGGAGAGAATTCCTACAATATTGAAATCGTGGATAAATCTACATATCAAAATAAGTGATTTTCTAGTTTCTTTGTTTTATCATTTGAAAAATAATTATTTGAATAATAATAATGTACATGTATACATTAGTACTAAATAGGTGTTTTTCTTGTGGTAATTAGCAATTAAAAACATACGGAGAGACAAAAACAAATTGAATAATTGTGTTGTGCACATTCCAGGGCTAAGATGGCAAGGGAGAAATAGAAACTTCCATTTTTCTTTAAGAAAACTAGAAAAAATATGAATTTTAATAAAATAATAACAGATTTAGAATTAGAAGAGACCTCTGAAATCACTGAGTCTTCTTATTCTTCTTATTCCTTCATGTTATAGATAAGGAAATCAATACCTGAGGAGAAGTTAGGACACATTCAAACTCCCAAAGATAGTAGTAAGTAGTAGAATTGGAATTTGAAGTCAGATCCTCCTGCTCCTAATATAATGTTCCTCCCCTCCCCGCCTTGTACCACACTACTTCATGTTAGATTTGTAGGAAATGTTGTCATAAGGAGAGTTTCAGATCCAAGCCTTTATAGTACCTAGCAGGAAAAAAAAAATAAAAGTAGGAATTGGAGTCTTATAATACCACAATAAGGTAGCTTCAAGGTGCTAGAATTACATCATAAATCCCCCAAAGATATTGTTCTGCCTAATATTTATAGGATTATAAGATAATTAATTTAAAGCTAGAAGGGACCTTAGAGGGACTTTCTTATTTTATAGATGGGGAAACTGAGACCCAGAGACAATACAATAGGCTCATAGTCTTTATAACTGGATGAGATCTCAAAGCTCTCCGAGTCAATAAAGGAAGACCAGTGGTTCTTGAGTCTACTAGCTCAATGCATGAACTAATCTAATTAAGTAGAATAGAACATGAACACAGTCAGTTCCCCAGGAATTCTTCCCTTGAATCACGTAGTTTGGATTGGATTCCGTTTAGGAAATCTTAATGTTAGGGAAGAAGGAGGTTGGAGGCAGAATGCCACCTCTTGCTCAACTCCACGTTAGGGTGGGATACCTTTTTTCAACAAATATTTTTGACGTGGACCCTGACTTAGCCAACTTCTCCTCAGCTAATGTTTAATGCACTGTCTAATAATCAAATCTGTCTCTCTCTCCTAGGATTTAGAGCTGGAATAAAACTTACGTATTGGCATCAGCAGTTTCTGAAAAATGTAGTATTTCCTAGCTAGAAGGAGAAATAGGAGGATAAGAAATCAGAGACTTTGGATTGTCAACAAGGGGGAGAAAGGTGGACAACAGCTGCCAGGTGAGAGAGACCATGGCAAATAAAATGCAATGTTTCCCCAGAGCTGTTATTTAGTGATTGACACTGTTGAGTTGTTTCAGTCATGTCTTACTTTTCATGACCCCATTTGGGGTTTTCTTGGCAAGGATATTAGAGTACTTTGTTATTTCCTTCCCCGGTTTATTTTACAGATGAGCATACTAGGGCAAACAGGGTTAATTGAGTTGCCCAGGGTCACACAGCTAGTGTCTGAGACTGGATTTGAACTCATGAAGATAAGTCTTTCTGATTTCAAGGCCAGTGCTCTATTCATCGTGCCACCTCGTTGACCACAGTAATTATTAGATCAACTAGAATTATTGGCTCAGCTATAACTACGAGCAGTTGGAACCTGGTCAGTGTCACTTATCTACTTAAGGAATGATGTGCTTGATAGAACTTGATGCTTGTCTGAATATATCTGCCTTATGACCATGCTTGGACCTGATGAATTTGTCCACGCTCCACTTTCCCCCTCTTGACTGCAAAGCAAAGTAATTAAAGATGCAGCCTCTTTTTTCTTTTCCTTTTCTTCTCTCTTCTTCTGTTTAGCCAGGAGTTCTTCAACATTTGTTGTTGTGGCACTTTGGTTCAGCCTATGGACCCCCTCTCAAAATAGTATTTATTTTTTAATACATAAAATGAAATACAGATGGTCATAAAAGAAACCTCTTACATTGAAATTGTCATCACACTAAAAACAATATTCATGGAACCCAGATTAATAATTATCATTTCTCTGGGTTAGAGAAAAACTAAAACAGAAACTCAAAAAAAACATAATGTATTCTAACCTATTGTTCGATCCCCCATGGATTATGATAGTAAGCTTGATTCTCTTTTTTATAAATGACTTTATGCTCACCATTTGTAGGAATGTTTTTACTTAAGATCAGAGTTTGCATGGGGGAAAGGCCCTGAGGTGTTTTGTATCGTACAAAATATATGGTGTTATGCTGCAGTGTATTTGCAGATAAGAACTCTCTGGGGACTATGAGTCATGGTTTAATTTTATTAAGTATCATATTATTCTCTATCAGACAAACCCCTAAAACCTGAATGTAAAAAGTAAATATTATTTTCCCTTAGAAGAACAGGCTGATTGGCCACATGCTGCTTTTATAAATGTCAATGCTAACTTGGAGGCAAAACTCTACCACTCTAGCTGAAGGGTTGTTTTTGTTGTTCAGTCATTTTTAGTCTTATCCAACTCTTCTGGACCCCATTTGTGTTTTTTTTTTTTGCTTTGTTTGCAAAGATACTGGAGTGGTTGTCATTTCCTTCTCCAGCTTATTTTACAGATGAATTTGAACTCAAGTCTTATTGACTCCAGGTCCAGTGCCCTATCTACTATTCCACATAGCTACCCATATAACTTAAGGGAGAGGGTAGCTAAAAGAGACTAGAGGAGAAAGCCAGTGCTGATCCCTAAGTAGTGGTCTTGAAGGTTTTGACTCAACAGTTTTCTGCTTGGGAGAGGACAAGAATCCTCTCATTACAAAGCAACATCTGGTATTAGATATAAATTATAGAAGTATAGCTTTATAACTGGAAAAGAACTCAGAAGCCAGAGTCCTGATCTTTGGATAAGAAGGCCACAGTAGGTTAAATGAATTGCCTAAGGTCAGGCACTAAGATAGTAAGCATCAGGACAGGATTGGTACTCAGATCCTCTGACTCCAGTGATTCCACTGCTTTTTCCTCACTAGTTGTCTATCCCCATACGTGTACGTGTTATAAGTTCGTTGCAGAACTGAAAAAAAAAAAACACATAACTAAAGCAGGAGCAAGGCCTGGTAAGAGGATAAGCCACTTGGGCTTATCATCTGTTTCTATATCTTTCCTTCTCCCACTCATTTACATGGAAAATGAAGCATTTAGGAGGCTCATGAAAATATTGTCAAAAAGTCAAGCACTGGGGTTTGTGAAGTTTCTTTGTTCTGTAAAGAATTTTTGGTCATACAATCCCTATTGGGGAAATTAAGCAGCAAGTTACTTGGGCTTTCTGACTCAAGATCTCTGATGCAAACTACCCTTTGTAACCAAGACCTTTTCTTTTGCCTAGACCTATGATTTCAACCCTTGGGAGCTTCTATTGAGGAAAGTTTCCTTACTAATTTAGATTTACTAATGTTCTGTAATTTATAGCTTTAGGATATTACCATGGGTACAGTCAGGTTGAATGACTTGCTGAGGGTCATAGAGATAACATGTTTCAGAAGCTGGAATCAACCCAAGTCCTCCTAATGCTGAGACTAGCTCTCCATTCACTTTTCCATGTAATTCTTCCTAATGAGAAAATACAGATCAATAGAATTGAACAGCCACTAATTATATGAGATAATATTCTCTTTATCAAGTCAGTTAGGTGGCACAATGGATACAGCTTGAGTTGGGGGGAGGAATAGATTCAAGAATACCTGAGTTAAAATCTGGTCTGAGATACTTGCTGTGCGACCAAGGGCAAGTCACTTAATCTCTGTTTACCTCAGTTTCCTCAACTGTAAAATGGGGGTGATGATATCACCTAATTTGCAGAATTGTTGTGAGAATCAAATGATAAATTATTTATAAAGTGTTGATCACAATGTCTGACACATAGCAGGTGTTTAATAAATGTTTTTTCCCTCCCTCCCTCCCCTCCCCTGTTTCAAAGACCTTGACACCTGCATTTAAAAATCTCCTCAAGAAGCTGTTTCTGGATTTGAGCTAAAAAGATCAAAGGCAAAGCCTACTTTTCCTATGTGGGAGAAATCATATCTCAGATGAAGACTCCAGCTGAAGCCACAGTCTGATAGCTCTTGCTGGGAGCAGCTCTACAGCATCATGACCAGTATTAGCATGTATAGCTGGCAGTGTGGCCACAGCACCAGCAGAGCAATGATAAACAGCAGCCAACAATGAGATCAGAGATAATAGGTTGTGTAATTGTGTAAAGCCCACAGAATACAATCCCACTGGGAACAAATTTCATTAAAATGCCAAAAACATATCAATAACTTTGCAGTGAGGGAAGAATGAGTTTTCCCTCCATGTGTGACACCTAGCTACCCATGTCCACTTTGTGTGTAGCCATCTACATATGTGCTCCTCCACATGAATGGTCTTTAAATAAATATCTTCTTCTCTTCCTACCTATGGTATGAAGATTTTTGAAAAAAATATGCTCCAGGCTTAAGAAGGGAAGTATTGCTATATTTCTTACTATTTGTTATTCAGTCATTTCAGCAATGTTTGACTCATTGTAACCTCATTTGGGATTTTCTTGGCTAACATACTGGAATGATTTTCCATTTCCTTTTCTAGATCACTTTAAAGATGAGGAAACTGAGGCAAACAAGAACTCTATCCACTGTACCACTTACCTGTACCATGTTACTATGGTGTTTCATTAAATTTCTCTGCTTAGAATTGTGTCCTTTGGTTAACAATCAAATGTAACCATGGCAACGTTGGTTCTTAAACTGTGCTTTTAAGTGGATATGGAACCACAGACTACTTTGAACCTGAGCTCACACTGTTAGAAGGAGATCTAAAATAGAGGGTATTCCAAGAAACTTCAGATAGAGATGAGGGAGGTAAGGCCCAATGTTACCGATTTAGTAGATGCTGGACCAATATTTTCTAACTGCAAATCCAATGCTCTTCTGAACCTACTACACTCCAGATCAATAAGTCTTTGCCCAGTCCTTGTGATAGTGTAGACATGCTCCTGCACACTGTCTCCATTTGACTCTCTCTCACCGTCCCAAGTCTGACTCTAGACACGCACACCAACTTTTCACTTTTCTGCCCACTAGAGGTTTTCTCCCAATGACCTTACCACAACTCCTCCAGGTAGGGAATGGACATTTTGGCCACTTGCATTTTCACCTTTTCTCTCTCACCTTTCTCACCTATGTTCTTTGTATATGATATTTGAGTCTAAACTTGGCTGTTTGGGAAATATCTCTTTATCATTACCTTGTCCTTAGGTAACTAACTACCCTGAATCTGTATTCCATATAAGAGAATGTATTTATTAAAACAAACAAAACAAAACAAACAAACAAAAAACAGTTAATGAGTTAGGCAGACTATGGCTGTGTAACAGTCTAAAGTTTTAGTAGAACTATAGCTTAGAGCTTGACACCAGCATTATTGTGGGACTCTGAAGTATTCCAAGGGGTGTAGTGAGACAGTCACCCTGTCATCTTCTGTGGAAACTTACACTCTAAAAGAACACATCTATGAAAAAGGAGAAACCGTAGTACTGCATTCTCCTAGTGAAATCTGAAAAAAATCAGTGACCAGACATGGAGAGGGAATTTGTCTTTTATTTGTGTAAGAAAACTAGAATGAATACATTTATATATTTCTAGGGGGGAGGAGTAATTCCTTTCAAAATATATTTATTATATATATATATTCACTCATTTTGGAGATTCTACACTTCTCTCCCTTTCCCCCTTCCCCAAAGATCTTATGGCTTTTTATGCTTCAGATGAAACTCGGATTCAAAAGAGTGAGATTTTCCCCCCGAAGGCCCTGAAAGGATAAAGGAATTCAAGACTTATTCATATGTTTTTATTTAAGCTAGAATAGGTATAGATAGCCCCACACAAACCAGACCGCAAGTTCTCTCTCATGACCCCATTGTCCTCTGCATAATAAACTCAGATCTGTATGCTTCCTGCCCCACCATCCACACTGCAGGGTTTTGTTCACTGAGCTTAAGTATATTTTTAGTTACTCTGTCAAGGCATAGGGGTTCACAGGAGTTCATTGCTTAAATCACTTGGAATGCATTAAGAAAGTGAGCACAAGCACAGAGGGCAGGAACAGGGAAAGGAGGAGAAGGGAGATTGGGATGCAGTATAATGTGAGGTAATCAAGGGGGTTAATGCAGGAACCATTTGGCCGGAGCTGAGAATGCAGGTGCCAGCTTGTTCCAATTCTGGCTCATCCTTCTTTTCTGTGCGTGTTACTCCCACAATGTTGGGAGAAGTCCTGACCTGCTTTAGTACTAAATTGGGGTTGAAGGTCCTTCTCCTCCTCAGCTGATGATTCAGGGTAAAAGCAATTGAGTCTCCCTACAGCTTCTCTATGCAAACCTCCCCTAGGTTTCATATGTCACTTTGATGCATAGTTTTCCTTCTTATATCATCTCCTGATAGGAAAGGAGCTAGGTTATTACCTTCAGCTGTCCTGGTTTAAAATAAACACATAAAAAGGAATGTTTAAAAGGACTCTGGCCATTTGTAACTTCCCTCCAACTGAAGTTTTTTTTTTTAAATGAGGGGAGCAGTACAGAAGATTAGGAGATATATTATTGATTGGTATGGAACTGTCTTTTCACCAAGTATAGAGAATGATGTTGAATGCAGAATGTCAAATCATATGAGTCATAGAGAATTCCTAGGAGAGTGAGAGTGACTTGTGCGTGGTCCACAGCTAGTGTCAAAGGCAGGCCTTGGACCTAGGTATTCCTGACTCTAAATATGGCCTTTCCCCTACATTATGCTGAGCAGTCACTGTCATGGATAATTTCCTTACTTATGTGGTTTTTTTTTGTTTTTTTAGGCAGTTGGGGTTAAGTGACTTGCCCAGGGTCACACAGCTAGTAAGTGTCAGCTGTTTGGTCTGAGGTTGCATTTGAACTCTGGTCCTCCTGACTTCAGGGCTGCTCTATCCACTGCGCCACCTAGCTGCCCCTATAATTTCCTTATTTAAAGCAACAGAAATAAGAACTTTAAATCAAGTCATTTTAAAAGCAAGGTAATTCATCTCATTTCTAGAAACAGAGGAATTTCTAATTTTCCCTACTATTGCATTTATGAAAATGTGGAACTGCTGCTATACATCAATACCTCAAAAATGTTCTTTAAAAGAAGAATTTTATGATGGTTTGAATACCCAAGTGAATATTTTTTAAAAAGATAATGAAAGCTGATCACCTGGGAATCTCCACCTACACTTTCAACTGGAAAACTCCCTGGAAGTATCAGACTGTATTATGAATTCTTGAAAGTCAAGAAACATTTATTAAGCACCCACTATGTGCCAGGCACTGAAGTGAGCTATGGAAGTGCAAAGAAAAGCTGCTCACACTTTAATGGAGATGATGACATACAAATAACTATGTAGAAATAAACTATATATGGGGTAAATTGGAGATAATCAATAGAGGGAATTCATTAGCATTAAAAATGATCAGGAAAGGCTTCCTATAGAAAATAAGATTTTAGCTGGGACATGAAATCAGAACTGAGAGTCGAGGAGAGACTATTCCAGGCATTGGAGGATAGTCAGTGAGGAACAGCAAGGACACCAGTGTTATTGTAATACAGAGAACATTGCAGGGACCAAGGTATAAGAAGACTGGAGACATGAGAAAGGGGTCTGGCTATGAAGGACATTGAATGCATAACAGAGGGTTTTATATTTAATCCTAGGAGTAATAGGGAATTATTGGCCTTTATTGAAAACTGGGGTGATATGTTCAGACTTGCATTTTAGGAATGTCAATTTGAAAGCAGAATGGAGGGGGTGGGGATGGAATGGAGAAAGACTTGAGGCAGGGTGATCAGTTAGCAATCTACTGGAATTGTTTAAATGTAAGGTGATGAGGAACTCCACCAGAGTGAAGGCAATGTCAGATTAGAGAAGGAAGCTTATACAAAAGATGTTCTCAAGATAGAATTGATGGTGCTTGGCAACAGATTGGCTCTGGACGATGAGAGAGAGTGAGAAGTTGAAGAATGATCTGGAAATCATTGGCATAGACATGATAATTGAATCCATTGAAGATGATGAGATTGCCAAAATATTATTGAGGCGGAATAGACGAAGGCCAGGACAAAGCCTTGGGCATGTATTCATGGTTAGTGGGTATGACCTGGATGAATATCCAGCAAAGAAGACTAAGAAGGATTAGTCAGACAGGTATAAGGACAACATGGAGACAGAAGTGAAATGAAACTCTATCAAGAAGAAGGTTATTGACACAGTCAAAGTCTTCAATGCAGAGAGATCAAGAAGGATTGAGAAATAAGGATTGAGAAAAGGCCATTAAATTTGGGAAGCCAGAGATGACTGATAACTCTGGAAAAAAGTTTCAGTTGAATGGTGAGATCCAAAGCCAGACCACTGTCAGTAAAAGAGAGAGAGAGAGAGAGAAAAGGAAGTGTAGACACGTATTGTAGATGGACTTTTCAAGGAGGTTAGCCACAAAGGAGAAGAGAAATAAAAAAAAAAAGAATATCTGTTAAGGATGGATGACTCAAGTCAGGGTTTTTTGTTTTGTTTTGTTTTTGAATAGTGAAGAGACATGGACATGTTTGCAGGCAAGGGAAAAGTATTCAGGGGACAGAGAGATTGAAGATTAGTTAGATATTAGGGATGATAAAGGGAAAAATTTGCTGCAAAAGACAGGATGGAATGGAAATATTTGTATATGTAAAGGGGTTTTCCTTGGCAAGGAGAAGGGCCACCTTTTTGTGTGAGACAGGAATGAAGAAAGAGATAGTGGTGGAAGGTATTTGAATGAGATGAGATGAATAGGAGAGGATAAAAGGGATCAATTCATATCCTGTTTGTCCTATGAAGAGAATGCTACCACCAAAAAGAAACCATATGGAGCTGCTTTTTTGGATGGAGTTAGTTTCTGTTCTACAGAATCCAACTGAAACATGGAGATTTTCTGTAATTATCCCTATAGGTTCTGATTCACTCAAAGCTTTGAGAGGAGCATAATGCAAGAGAAGTTGCATCAAATCTAGTATCTGGGTCTGAGACTCCTTTTTGACCCCAATTAGGTGTGGGAACATGGGCAAATCAATACAACTTTTCAATGCCTCTTTGACCATGGACAAATTTTTCAATACATCTGCTAATAATTTATTGGTTGCCTACTACGTCCCATGCACTGTGGTAAGTGTTGGGGATACAAATACAAAATAGAGACATCCTTGTCCTCAGGGAGCTTATTTTCTACTTATGCAATACAGGCTGTTTATAGATAAATATGAAATAAATATGAGAATGACTCCCCCCCTTTTTTTATTAAACCTGAAATGTCCAATGACTGCATTGTAGTGGTAGTAGTAAGGTCCTCAACACTTACACCTGCTTGCCTCAGCTTTAAATTCCTTGCTGCTATTCTTTCAGCTCTTAGGTTTGGGGATGTTTTCTCTCTCCAAAAGTTACCTTATTTAAGATTTTCCTTTTTTTTTTCCCAGAGGGCAAAATCATCTTTGAACTTGGAGAAACTCGGGAAGCACATGCAAGGCTGATATTTTGGAAATGTTCTGTCTATGGATTTAAGGCTAAATTCTGGAATTGTATTGCCTAGGCAATAGAAATCCTCCCTCTACAAGGGAGGTTGTAGAAATAGTCAGCATTTATACAGAACTCTAAGATTTCCAAAGCACTTTATATATGCATTATCATTTGACATTGACCTTGAACTCTTGACCTCACAGGTAAGCACAAGAAGCTTCTACATCTAAAACATTCTACCCTTGCTTCAGCTGTTTCCATCTATTGAAATGGGAATTCTCCTCTCCATATGCTAGTTGAAAAAAAAAATTCTTTGTCAGTTCATGTGTCTCCCATGTGCTTCTGAGGTTGGTGTGTGGGAAAACTTATATCTATAGGCTGTCTCCCTGGACCTAGTTCAGGGCTACTGTTCTCTAGTCTGTAATCTAAATAGGAAATAAGAAAGAAAAGAGCTTTGAGCCTTTTTGAAACTCAGTTTCAGTTTCTGCATTTGCGAAATTGGGTAGTAATGTGTTGCTAATTTTATAGTGTTATTGAAAAGAAAGCACTTTATTTAAATATAAAGGATATGAATCACCTCTATTCTCTTCATTGCTATTATTATTAGTATGTTCTCTAACTGTAGGATGACTTACAGCACTCCTAGGTTAGGATTCTATGATATAGTTTAAAAAGCTAGTCCTTTCCCCTCCAGACACTCAGGTCTTCCAAAAACACTTTAATGTCATTTATTGTGTATGTGTCAGAATTAACCTGATGTATTAATTGATGTCTTATTCTAGAGAGAACACTTCAAAGGGAGTGACATAATCTATTTAGTGGACAGTACCTTTCAATACATAGAAGCTTACTTCCGTGTTGGTAATTTTGATAATGTTGGGTGAACTTCAAGACCAAAAGTTATAAATTGTACCTCTAGCCCTTCACAAGCTTTTGCGAATTTGCTTGAAAATAATTAGGAAAGGGGGAAATGTTTATTAGCCAAACTTCCCCCTTTTTTTCTCCCTGCTTGACTGAAATGCAGGTCACATCTTTTGCAATACCTCTTCTTACAGTTTTATAGACTCTGTGTCCTGCTAGTGGGTCATCATTAATTTTAAGGAAATGCTGCTTACTATAGCAATTTGTATCAGCTGTCCACAGACCCGCTGAACCAGAAATCTATAATCTTTAAGATTTTTCAACTCAGTATTAACTCACTCCAGAAAGTAAGTCTTCTTTTGCCTTCATAAGCCAAGAGGTTTTTTTTATCTAACTTTCTACTGCAATGGCCCATTTATATTAGTCATCAGGATATTCCACCCAGAAAAGAATTAAATGAAGACCACTCAAGTTGTAAGGTTATAATTCCAGCAGATATATAATTCCAGCAGAAAAAGGAAAGTTAAAAATTGGACCAAATTGTTCATTGCCAGAGAAAACAGGGAATAGCAGCAGATGGACCATAAGACATTAAAAATCCATTGGATTCTCATGTTACTGTAAAAGATTCAGGGTAGAGAGATATAAGGTTTATAGAAAATGATTAGTAGTCTTGTTCATTCCCATGCATTGCTCTGAAAAATGAGATAAAGAATTATCTTCTTCTAGATAAAAGGAGTTAATGAGAGTGGAGGTGAACTCTCTGGATCATTATTCTTTGAAATTGACAATCTCCAGAAAGCTTTTGTGATGATGTTATCTGATTTCTGTTTTGCTTGTTGAAACTGAAAAATGTTCATTTGGTTTTTTTGGGGGTAAATTTAGCATTCTCTTACTCCTCTGTTCAGAAGCTGAAACATTTATGTTATTATATCATTCAATTATAGGTTATTATTTGCCTTATTGAAGAAGAAAAGAATGTTTTTACTCAACTGAAAACCTATGTGCCCAACTTCTAATTAATCTAATTTAAATATATTTTAGTTTCATAAAAATTCAATAGCATTTACTACCTTTAATTTATGACAGCTGATTCCCTAAGCATGGTGATTTTCATTTATCAAGTGGCCTGGCAGTTTCATATTTTGTACTTCCAGCAAAATTCGACTTTGCAACAATAATCAAGTAACATGTTCTTCTCATACCTTAGCTGTGAAGAGAAGGCAGGAGTGTTCTTGAAGAGGGCTACACGGAGTCACTGATATTGGATGGCCTTTCTATCCCTACTCCCATACTGGTTTTTTACTGCATCCTCAGCAAAATTAGGACTAGTTAAAAACAGATGGGTTGGTGCTCTGAGGGGACTTCCTAAAGCTGGAGGAAATGCCCCATCATGCCCTCTGCAACACTATCATATTCAAGTCCACGACTTGGCTCAGATATTCCTAATGACTAGGAATCTAGATCTCATTCAAAATAGGACATTATTACAGTCCATGAGTAGTATCTCAAAAAGAATAGAAAGGGAATGTTTTCTCCTGTTCAACATTTCCCTGTGCTTTAGTAGAATTGAATAGAATGGTCCTAATGATTTGCTTGAAAAATTATTTCATTTAATATAAAATGTTCAAAGGATCATTAATTTAGCACCAGAAGGAAACTTAGATGGCCACAAGTAATTCAATATCCTCCTTTGTTTTATAGATGAGGAGCCTGAGCCCAAGAAAAACAGTGGCTTGCCAAAATTATGAAAGTAGTAAGATGTAGAGCAGAAATTAGCAACCAGGTCCTCTGTTACAAAATCCAGAACACTTCTCATAGACCATGCTACCTCTCCTTTTAAAGCTTATCAAATATTTCTGTAAATCTCAACTTTGTGACCAGAAATCTTTGAATTATAACTCTATAAATAAAAATGCTGCAGGATGTTTTGAAAGTATGTTGACTGAAAATACTGATGATTTTCAATGTAAAAACTAAAGCAAATCCAATTTAACTGACTCTTCAAGAAGGGTTTTTTTCTAAATTTTTAAAATGCTGGTCATTTTGTATTACCTTAACTGGCATCATTTTTTTTAATCTGTATGTTCATTATTCAAAGCATATTGTTTTATAGTCCAGATCATGCATAGAAACCTAAATATGGGATTAAGTTGTGGAAAGAACACTGGACAGTCAAGAGTCCTACATTCTGGGTTTAGCTCCATCCCTGCCTAGCTATGTGATATTTGGTAAGCAGTTCAGTGGTTCTGTATTTAATTTTGAAACATGAGGTGCTTTAAAGTCCCTTTTAGCTCAAAAACATTATGATTCTATTATTCTAAACAGTCCTATTATAGAATTGAGCTGCAACCCGCTTAGAACTTAGATAATTTCTAGCTTTATCATACGGAAATGAAATAGATAAAATTGTCACTATCTAAAAAAGAATGATTTTCTATATATAAACATATACATATGTGTATATATATATATATATATATATATTCAATAAAAAATTTATAATGCACATGCACATACATATATATAACATCTATATCTACATTTACATCTCTCATATCTATTTCTATCCCTATCCATTTACCTATTTATAGATCTATATCTACAAAAATCTAACTATGGATAGATTTATATAAATAGTTGAAGCAATTTTGTTACCAGCAGGAATGCCTAACAGAAAGTCACTAATCACTTGTTTTCCATTTCAGTCTTTCAAAGGGAAGCTCTTTTTTTCATTTGAATTAAGTGTGGGTACTTGATGACATTGACAGCAGCTGAAAGGAATTTTCTCACCCTCAAGCCAAATAGTAGACCAAAGAGGTTTATTAGACCAAAGAATAGCAGCTGAGGCAGGGGGAAAAAAAGGATTTTAAAAAGAGACGATATAAGCCTTTTGCTTTCTATATTTTCTGGATGGCTAAATACTACTGTGGTTCTGATCTCATTAAAATATTTCTTGATAGAATGTAAGATCCTTGAAGGTAAAGACAATATCACTTTTGTCTTGTATGCTCAATGCCTATCTTAGCACTGGTACATAGAAGCCATAGTATTATAAAGCTTTTAGTAGTCAGTCACTTGATAAAAGTTTATTAAGGGCCTACCATGTGTCAGGAACTGTGCTAAGCCCTGGGATACAAAATACAGCAAGTCATAGTCCTTGCCCTCAAAGTGCTCACAATATAATGGGGGAGAAAACAGGCAAAATACATACATACATACATATTATATATATACAAACACACATATATATGTATAAACGAGCTATATATAAAATAAATAGGGAAAAAATAAAAGGGTGAAAGCATTAGAATGAAGTGGTATTGAAAAAGTTTTCCTATTTTCCTTTAAGCTTGGACTCAAAGGAAGCCAGGGAAGCCAACTGACGGAGATGAGAAGGGAGAACATTGCAGGTTATGGGGAACAGCCAGAAAGAATATCCAGAACCAAGAGATGGAGTCTTTTTAATGGAACAACAAAGAAACAACAGTTAACCGAAGAGTATATAACAGAGAATGGAAAGGTAAAAGAGTGCTAAGTTATGAATGGCTTTGAGAGGCAAACAGAGGATTTTGCATTTTATCCTGGAGACAACAGGGAGGCATGGGAGTTTTTTGAGTGGGGGGGGTGATATGATCAGACCCGCACTTTAGGAAAATGGAATGGAAAGATGTGTTGGAGTAGGGACAGTAGGTACCAGTAGGCTATTGAAATAGTCTAGATGTGAGGTGATGAAGGTCTGCACCTTAGTGGTAGCAATGTCAAAGGGGATGAACTGGTATATTGGAGAAATGTTACAAAAGTGACAAGTCTTGGCAACAGATTGGATATGAAAGTGAGAGTGAGGAGTCAAGGATGACACCTAGATTGTGAGCCTGTTACCCTAGGAAGACGTGTTGCCCTCTATAGTCATAGAAAAGGTAGGAAGAGGGGAGGGCATAGGGGAAAAAAAAGATTATGAATTCCTATGGACATGTTGATTAAGATGTTTGTTGGGCATACAGTTCAAGATGTCTAAAAAGTAGGTGGAGATATGTGATTAAAGGTGAGCAGAAAGGTTAGAGTCAGGTAGATCTGAGAATCATCAGCATAGATATATTAATTAAATCCATGTGAGCTAACGAAATCACCAAGTGAAATAATATAGAGGGAGAAGAGAACAAGACCCAGGACAGAACCCTGTGGGACAGCAAGTGTTAGAGGACATGATCTGGAAGAGAATTCAGCAAAGAAATAGAGAAAGAGTGGCCAGATAGGAAAAGAACTGAGAAAGTGCTATCCCAAAAACCTAGAGAGAGAAGAAAGTGTCAAGGAGAAGAGGATGATCAACAGTAACAAAGGGTTCAGAGAGATTAAGAAGAATAAAGGTTATGAAAAATGCATTGGGTTTGCATTACAAGCTCTGAGGATCTTTTTCCCAGTCCCCTCTTGCACTGGTTAGTCAGGTTCCTCCAGAGAAAAGCCACTTATGTTGTTCCCTTAGGGTTCCTGGGATAATCCTAAGGGGTTATAGGATTCTTCTTTAATACTAACAGCTTGACCTTCTATCTCCCCAATTTAAATCAATATCTCTCTTATATCATCAGTACTCTACAATTAATGCATCATTTAACCAGATAACATAAATTAGATTTAACTGTGTTATATTTCTTGAGAAAGAATAATAGGACAGAAATACACACCTTTTTCCCCCCTGTACATTTTCCTAGGGTTAATATCTTATTTCTTGACCTTGAAATGGGCCACCAACTAATCTAGGGCTTCTGCCATGTGGACTTTTCTGGCCTGGAAAATGTTATGTCATCAATTTAGTTGTATACATCAATGTCCTCAAGAAGGGCTACCTCTTTGAGGTCTGTTGTTGTTCATACCTCCTTTTTCAAAGAGAGCCAATAATATCATGGGGTAATGTCAACTCACATGTAAATTGGATTTAGATGGGGCAGAGTTGCACATAGTCATCAGCCTCACTTTCTCTTCCTGAGTCACCAAAACCTGGTGGCAAAACAAAAGTCAAATCAACTAGCCTGGGATGAAGTGGATGACATTGGTGTCTTTAATGTGTGACCAACCTCTAAATGTTCCACAGTGACTACTTCAACCACCTTTATGGACATTGGAGCAAATTGCTCTCATCTGCCCATTCTGTAGAAGAATGCTTCGCATACTTGGGGTAGACGCCCCCCTAACTCACTGATGGGTTTGAGGCCCGTTGTTTACCCTCAATCTATTATAGCCCATCTGCCCAGATGGTTTTACTGGAGTGTGGCTGCTGAATACGCTACAGTTTCTTGGAGTCACAGGTGAGAGTTGGGTGAAAGGTGAACACCAAAGGTGGATGAGTAGCCTTGAAAAGGATTCAGCTAGCCTTTGCACCAGAGGTGCTAATCGTCCCTGAACACCCTGTACACCCCTCTTTCAGGTCTATGCTCACCATAAAGAGGCAATATGAAGGAAAGTTCAGGTAGCCCTGAGGAAGTGCAATGAAAGTTCACTGGACTTCTTCCCAATTGAAAGTAAACTGCTCCTGATAAGTCTCAGTCACAGAAATAAAGGAAGTAAAGATTGACAACCCCATAGTACTCACCATGGCCCTGGGCTCAGTCATGAACGTAGTTAATACAATCTTGATCATTTATTCACTTACCTGAGGTCCATGGTAAGCTGCCAAGTGCCAGTGACTTTTTCATAGATATCATGATGAAGAAAAAAGGGTACAGGAAGTAGAGGAAGGGGAATAAAGGAGAAGGGTTTAATTGTGTGCTCTGAGGATGGGGCTCCCAGTGGTCAGTCCCCACACTACATGCAAGGAAGAATTCTTGTTGATTCATTCATTGATTGAACACAACCTGACACTAGGTAGTTTCCTGAAGTTCCTCCCTTCAGGGAAGAGCCCATGTAATATCTACTATTTAGTGAAGACTCATAGAGGACACAAAGTCTCTTATTTTTGTCACCAGGTAAAGAGAGCTGTGGAAGCCTACATGAATAGCTCATGATGTAGAAATTAAAGAAGTTTATTACTAATGTCCTCACAGGAACAACAAAGGAGAACAGAAGCTCCCCTAAAACAACTCTAGAAGCAAAAAAAGCTATCCAGTGGGAATACAGCCTTAGAAACACAACTTATCCCTGGTCATATATATTGCCCAGGCTACAGACTTCCATAGATAAATTGTTTTCTTCCACACATTTTGCTCTGACCAAGTGTGTTCTTAGTGTTTCCTCTTCCCCATATGTGGTTTGGTGAATTGGTAAGGAGTAAATGGAAATGGGGAAAAATTTGCGTTTCATGTATTTTTTGTGTCACTTTGTTCAAAGTTTTTTGCTTTGAATTAATGTGTCTTGTGCTTGGTCTGTTAAAAGGAATATCAGCTGGGATTTGTGAGCTGTGGCCTTAAGTAGAAGGCATTCCAAACTATGCCTTGAACCTGGGACATTGTGTGTGTGTGTGTGTGTGTGTGTGTGCGCGCACGCGCGTGCGCGTGCATATGCACATGCACATGCTGGCATACAAATGTGTATATTTAGTAAGGGTATTGGTCTACATAACTTTGCAAGGCTCCTTCAAACTCCAAATGTTCATATGAACATGTCATTTCAGAAATGATACATGGGACATGAAAATATGGGCTATGATATTTAATATGATATTTAAATTACAATAAAATTTCTTTTTTTTTCCTTCTCAGTTTAAAATGTGTTCTACATTTAAAATAAACAGGCAAAAAAATTACAATATCTTATTTATTTAAAAATGGGAAGATTTGGAATTGTAATGACTATTTTCAAAGCATATGATTTTTTGGGGAAAAAGAAAATATGTTGAATGCAAGTTCTTTGAATGCAGGAGTTTTTTGTTTTTTGTTTTTCTTTCATTCTATCCCCAAAGCCAAGTGTCATGTCTGTCATATAGTAAGCTTTTAAGAAATGGTTGTTGATTGATTGAAAATGTTGATAGGTCTGAAAGACTTATATTTGAATATCAACCCTGGTTCAGTAGATACATCCTATTTTCAGTGTAATTTCTTGGCTCAGTTTCACATTCAATTAAAGATTTTTCCTAAATAAGATAAGATGTCAGGATGTAGCACAGATAGCAACCAGAAAGCTGAAATTTTTTTTTCTCTTTTAATTATACTTATGTTTTACCTTAATTTAATTGAATGCCTCCTTTATTTATATTCACTGTAGATGGGAATTCCTGGACTGACATTCTGACACAAACCCCTTATAAAAGGGTCTAGAGGAAAAAAAGACACAAAAGCATGAGTCAATATTGCACATTAAGAGTATTTACAACCATACTGAAATTAAATTCAGTATTTTACAGATGTGAGGCACTATGTGCATTATAGAGGATGGAAGAAAATCACCTTTTGTAAATTGGTAACTAAAAAAAGATGCCAGTAAAAAAAAATGAAGTGAATGTTTGGCTTAATTGAATATTTAATCTTTAAATTATCTCACAGCCCATGCATCTTTTATCTCTTTTATAGTTATATTATTTTGAACTTTAAAAACTTTGTCTGAGTGATACTATTTGCATGGAACATGCATGCATCTTCCTATCTGATGGGTAATAATTTTCATTTATATTTTCTTTGGAGTGAACTCAGACACATCAACACTCTAGGTACTCATTGAGGAGCACCTTCCTATCAGCATAGTAGTGAGAAAATAGCAAAAACAAAAACAACAAAAGTAAACTAACATAACATAACAACATAGTAAAATTAAGCAAAAACAACTTGAGACTTGTCCAGAGTTCAGGCAAATAAGATTAGGTTCATGGTGGAAATGATCAACTTGAGTTAAATTAAACAAGTTTACTTCAGAGTCTCAGTTACAGAAAGAAAAAATTTCCAGAAGGAGTGGAAACATACCTGGAAGGAGTGGGAATAAATAAAGGTTTTCTGAAGGAAAAGCAGTCGAAATATTTTAACTAACAAGAACATTTGGTCTGTGATGCTATATATGTATATGTGTGTATGTGTATGTATATGTGTGTGTATATGCATATGTATGTATATACACACACATATATACATATATACATACACATACATAAATACATATGTATATACACATATGTATACATATATACCAAATTATCCTTCTCTTTTGGTATTATATACCTAAACGTTATATAAAATTGAAACATGGGGTATATTGACCATATCCCTTTCCACTTCATTCAACTTGAGGTGATATGGCTATAAATTGAAGGCCGATTTTTTTACCCCAACCATCCTCATATTCTTTATATTTTAAAATATTACTTTTGCCTCATTTTTATATCACATTTTCACATAAGCTTCTCCCCCTTCTTCCCCAGTCAACCATCCTTTGTCACAAAAATAGTTATTCAAAGGAACTCAATGCTGC